AATTGGGTCAGGCGTTGGGGAAGGCGGAAATGCCGGTAGCCCGCTTCCGCAGCCTTAATATAGCGGTCCACAGACCGACCATCAGCCAGTGTCAACCGACGTGGTTGGAAGGAAGGAGAGGTCACCGCTGGGGCCCCCAGAGTCGCTTCCAGGTCAATGTCAATCCAGAGTCCCCTGTGGTCCGACTTAAAATACTGCTGAAAGTCCAAGTATCCGCCTGCCGTTACACGGACGCCGTCAGTCACAAATATACCATCGATGGGGGTATCCGTCGTCCGACTTTGGGTTGTTGCTGGGTAAGGGCCCTGATGTTGGCGTAAGATGGCCTCGGTCAGGCCTGCAGACCGCATCTCTTGGCGGAAGGAAGAGGGAGAGTTGTAGGAGACATCTTCGTTTGCATCTAACCCAAGGAGAATCTCGCACCCTTCCGCTTTCCATTGTTTGATCAGGTCCACCAAATCCAGTGTGAGCTTATCACGGAGATCCATAGTCACCCCCTTGCTCAGCCAGTAATTCCGTTGGTAGTTCCAAACACTACCAGCATTGGTACCTTCCTTGTTCGGACGATATGCAGAGACCACCACAAGATCTAAGGGACCAGCCGGGGGCCCATCAGTCTGAGACTCCTGCTGTCGGATGTCCCTCCCCCGGATCTTGATCCATGAGAACCTGCCTAGCCCTGACTCATCTTTGCCGCCTGACTTTGCACGGCGCGCGACCTTGTGGAGTAATGTAGCAGAACATCCGCCCCATTGATGCGCCGAGGGAGTTGGAAACTCCTGGTGTTCGTAGTAAGACACTGAAGAGAAATGTCCCTGGGTAGTGAAGGACTTGACCCGATCAAACCACTTGAGTCCTCTGGGCACTGCTGACCATTGAAGGTTAACTTCAGCCAGCAGTGCAATGCCCACTCTCTCATCCGTCCAACACTTGAAAAGCCCTTTCTGTTTCTCATGTGTCATGGGAAATGGAAGACCCTGAACATTTTGAAAAAGGGCCCGGGTAACGCGAGGAGACTTCTGGCGTGAGTCATCGCCGAAGTAGTTACCGGGAGGGAGAGAGTTTAAATAAGCATCCAGCAAGGAGTGGGCCACCTGGCTGGATGTGTGTTGGTTGCGTAGATTTCGACCTCGGCCTTCCGTCAAACGCCGCAACCTTGCGTGACGGGACCGTTGGTGGGTAGGGACCACCGCCGGGGGGGCCACCCCCACTGTCAGCCGATGATGTTGCCTTGCTGGAGGAGGGGCTTGACGAATGGTGCTTACCTGTTACCGATGCTTGTTCCGCCATTTTGGCCTCCAGTTCAAGGATACGAGCGTCCTTGGCAGCCTCCGCATCCTTAGCTTGAGCCAGTTTTTCCGCCGCAGTCTCTAGTTCCGTGCAAAGGTCGTTGACATCCGCTTTCATGTTCTCCAATAGTGCTGCCATATTTGCCGCGCTGCCTACCGTAGCCCCGTCATCCATATCCTTTGCAGCTGGCATCGACAGGTCAATCGTGATGGTGCCCTCAAATGCTGGAGAAGCCTGCTCTGCCGCGAGGAGCTTCTCAATCCACTCATTATCATCTTTCTCGACTTGCTGGTCCAAATCGACGTCCCGCTCATACTCCGAGATTTCACGATGTTGGCTTTGGTCCCAGGTCATAGCGTTGGCAACCGTTCGATTATAGTGGTCCAAGCAGAGCCAGGTGCGGCATGTCTTCCGCTGATGCTTCAGGTCCTGCCATAACTCGAGGTGAGAAATAAGGAAGGCCGCTAGGTTCTTGAGAACTTCCTGTGCCAATGAGGCAAACTTTTGGCGCACCACAAACACATAGAAGCCATCGATTGGGCCTGGTAGAATCATTTGGAAGAGACCGGGGGCCCTGGTTAAGTTCCGCATCCATTGCCGCCAGCCATGCGCTGCGATCAAATGCCTCAGTGACCAGGGGCTGCTCAGATGCAGAAAGTTTTGCCCGAGCAGACGACGCCGTAGGAGGGTTGGTTGCTGACTGGGGTGTAGACTTCAGTGCCGGAGTGGGCCGTGGAAGAGGTGTGGGGGGAGTAGCCTGAGGCGTCTCCGTAGGTTTCTCAAGAGGTTGCTTGGCCCGGCAATGCTTAGACCCCTTGCAACTGGAACGCTTGGTGGATGAGGTGGGTAGAGTTGGCTGAGCTGTGGTGGGGGCAGTTACACTTGGGTTGGTTGATGGCGGTTCTGGAGGAGTAGAAGACACGGAAGGTGGCAATGGAGAGTCTGGAGTGTCGGCGTCCTGTGTGGCTGATTGTTCAGGCGGAGCAGGGGCAGGTTTCTTGACCGCTGGTATGCACTGAATCGCGTAGAGGAATTGGAGGAGGGATTTGCCCTTGCCCTGTTTGCAGTACTTGGGAATGAAGACCTTGGTCAGCATGCCTTGGATAGGAAACAATGGAGCCAGGGAGGTGCAGGTCTGGGAGGTAGTGTCATGGGTGTTGATGAGTTTCCCAATGATGCCATTCCACTGCCCCCCTGGTTGCGCGAGGTCACCGAGGTGTCCCTTCGTAATCGCCCCCCAGTCGTAGACAAACTGAGTCCGGGCACCAAACGGCATGTGACACTTCTTTGTCTCTGGTCTGAGCCATGCAAAGAGGGCCCGTGCCACTCTATCCACGTCAGAAGCAGCTACCCAAATGTGCCACGCTTTTGGACCCTTGGAGGGCATCCATTTTTGGCCCGCCGTACCGGGGTTCTGTGGCCACGCAGGTTCGAGGGCTATAGCTCGCTTGAAGGTGAAGTGACGCATGAGCTCGCGTTCAAGTGCCGCTCTCCCAATCCCCATGGGGTAGTTCAGTAGCCAACCGATTCGGACAGGATCACTAACTTGCAGCGGGGAACGGAAGACGCCTGCATGCGTGCCGGTGATCTCGAAACATTGACCCAGTAGTCGGGACATGTCGTCCAGAGAAGAGTTGTGGGCGACGCGAATGCGGGTGCGAAGAGTCTTGGAGCCGGGGTTCTTAGCGTTGTAACCAATTTGGGCGCCATTATTCCAGGACCAGTCAATGTAGGGCTTGAGCTTCTTGTAGGTGAGCTCCTCCACTTTCTCTTTAGAGGTCAGCCACAACTTCTTATCCCGTACACGGAGTTCGCTCACCGGAAGAATGACCAGGTCGCCCTCAGCGTTGTCCATAGCCATAGACAGCACCGAGACCATTTCTTCAGTGAAACACTTTTCAATATAACCACCTTCAGATGTGTCGCCATCCCATTCATAGTTGATTGTAGCGTAGAGGAACTGGGCGTTCGAGCGCGGGAGCCCAGTCAAATTCATCTGTGTCACCTCACGGGCTTTCATTTCTTCAGAGAGGTACTTGGTCCGAATAGCAGCCTTCTTCTGTGAGGCGGCAACATAAGTGAGTTGCTTCTTCACAGACAGAGGAGCTGACGGTCGAGGAGGGTTGGGAGGCTCAGTCTTCGACAAGTGAGAGTCGATCAATACTGTTGCCGAGGGGTCATTGGCCCGCTGAGCTGGGGCAGGTGACTTCCCCACAACCACTTCAGTAGGAGGTTGGTCCGAATTCGATGGTGCAGAAAAGTCTGGAGCCGACTCAACGGACTCCGACCCATCGTTGTCGGACCAATAAGCAAACTCGCCGTTGACTGGTTTATTGGTGGGGCTAATTACCGATGGACCCGTTGTGTCCATCATTACCGAATCATCCGTATCGGGGGCAATAGAGTCGCGAACTGGTTTTGGGGTGGCCTCCGGAAAGAACCCTCGCGCCGGAGAGCGAGGGTCAATTGGAGCTGATTTTCGTTCCGTTGATGGGTCCAGATCGCGCTCACGTTTTCGGCCCTTGGCTGCGGAGCGATGCTCAGCCAATTCCGTTACTACCGTCGTCGTGTCGGGGTCGGTCCACGGGTGGCCTAGAAGTTCATCCGCAATGGCCCAGACTTTAGCCAGAGGACGTAGTTCCAGTAGTAACCAAGGCTCGATCTCCAAAGTAAAATCCCAATACCGATTAAAAAACGTAGTGTCCTCCAATGGCTCGTCCAACGGAAAAATCACCAAAGGATCCTGGACCGCCAGACCGAGGATTAATCTTCGTACATATACCACTAGCTCACGATCGTTCCCAATAAATTCGTCCTTGATGTCTCGGTCAAGCGCAGCTCGAATGCGTTGCTCGACCAAGTCCCAATCCCCATCACAAATCTGTAGTAGCTTCTCGGCTGCTTCCTCCCAGGATTCAGTCGCCGGAGGGTCTACGAAATTTTCAGAATACCCTTCGCACCAAGGCCAGCGGAAATCGGGCTCGTTCTCCCATGCCGAGAACAGCTCATTTCCAAAGACCACTTCTTTTTTATTGTTGCGTTGACCACGAGCACGGTAGATTGTGCAGAGATAGGCAAGGGTTTGCAGGTTCCACTGAGACGAATCGATGTTCTGGACAATGCGATCGTACTTCAGTGGGTTCTCGACCTCCTCCATCTCGGTGTCGCTGTTGTTGTTGACGATGGGAGGGTCCAAATCGTCGGATTCCTTTTTCGATCGAATTTCGGCGGTTTCGGCTCGGCTTTTTTGTGAAAAACTGATGCGACCCTGAGTAAGAGCAGTAGAATTAACAGGTTTAGCAGCGATTGCCACTTTCTTGTTGTTCTTCGACTTTCCCATTGTCAGTTTTGATGCAAAAAGGAGGAGCGAGTTTCGTTTCGCTACAGAAAAATCGTGTAGGCGAAGTACCGAAAGTGATGTTTTGACGACCTGGAGATGCGCGTTGTTTTTGTATTTTTGTTTTTTCGGAATATGATACTCCAACTGATATTGTACAGGGCGAAAACGGCGAGACCCTTGAACGACCGACCAATCACGAACGGCACGTTGAGTTGTCTTCTCCAGGGTGCGACGAGCACATTCAATACTGGTTCTCCATCGACGAGCAAGTTGATCTGGCTTGATGAGGTAGGATTTTCCGGAAGTTTTCATCAATCGAATTGTCAAACTGTGTACGCCACATACGACATTGTTGGTGTCCCCTAAAACTTGCGGTAAACGGTCAAGGCAAGCAGCAGTTGTGAGCGTTGAATCAAGTCGAGTGAAATGTGCGAGTTGGTGATACGGTGCTTGATAGTCAGCATCAATCTGTTGTTGCAGAGCTTCTTCTTGGCGCCGAGAGTCAGGATCATAAGGCTGCCAAGGAATGTCTGCAGTCATCCAAATAGGTTGAAACTCCATTATATCGCTGACCTCTTCATCTGTAGGTTGGCGACATGTAAAGTAGGAAATTGGTTTGTTGAATAGTAGTGGGATCCTTAGACCCGATGTCAAAATAACATGAGCTTCTCTGTTTCCTTGTTCAAGCCGCAATCAAATTAACGGCACGTCATCTACCACCACTACATTGTTGGCACACAGTTGATCGACACAGAGTAGGTGCGATCCTAGACCAGGGATCAGAAGCACTTCACAGAAATGCAGACAGTAGGTTCAATGATCAAATGGGCAGTCATAGGCAAGACAGACATTTCCAATTCGAACATCGTTGATTTTTAAACCATTGTGAAAACCGGTGACATTGATTGACTGAGAGGACGTCGAAAGGACGCAACATCCATCAGGATCAAAAGCACATGTATCTGCGTGAGAGTCCAGTTCACATCGGTTGGTAAGAGTGCTTGTGGATGATAGCACCAATACCATACAAGAATTTGGGCGAGTGCTTGTGAGCGATCCAATAGATGAGGTTCCTAGTCAATCGCGCCCACCATTGTTGCGATGGCGACGACTCATTCCTGCACCTGCCCCACGCCCATCATTGTTATCTTCTTCTTTTGTTTCTTCTTGATCAGCTCGTCCATCATGGACAGCGCTGATACCACGACCACGACCACCAAGGCCTTCGCGGCCTCTTCCGCCACGACCACCACCACCATTGCGGCGATTGTGACGCATCTCTAGACAAATATTTCGTTCCTCTTGTGTAAACTCCTCTCTCCAGATTTGATTTGAGTAACCTCCATCATTTAGTAGGATACCATTGCGGCTAAAGCGATCTGGAACATTTGATTGCAGGCGGTTTGAGGCGCCATTTCCTCAGCCACGGCCTCCACTTCTCCCATCACCACCACGTCCGCCACCACCACCTTGTGTGAAAGCAGCAAGTTGTCGATTGCGGCGCTGGGTGTTGTCGTTACCTGCAGCTAAGACTTGTGTTGTTAAATTATCGATGGCACCTTGGAAATTGGAGCGGAGAACGGCATCTCCTGTAACATGTGATCTTCCATTGGAAAGTGAGGAATCTCCAACAGTTTTCTTGAGAAGTACGTCAACCTTATTTGCATCAGAGCGTGGATCACCGTTCAACTCGAGGTCGTTGAAGGCTCCAATAAGGCGACTGATAAAAGAATTCCAAGTGAAGCCCCGAGCTTTACCGTTCCAGTGAACTGTTGCAAGGACACGGACAGCAGCTTGGCGTTCATTGGTGAAGTGCCCCCTTCCACGATACTGTGCAAAAAGAGCGAAATAAGCAGCTCGGCCATTCAAAAATGGAGCAAATTGACGAACGTGATTGTAACATCTGAAACAGTTGCCTTGTGCTTTTGGGTGTCATGGAACTTGTCCTATATTGTCCAGTACTTCCCCCTTAATGCTATAGCGATATTCCCTTAATTGACAGTTTAATTGGGTAAAAAGGACAAGGACACTGTGTTTTTTATTACCACCCCATGTGAAGCCTATGTGATAGATGAGAACCCCTCGTCCTTTTTATGACCAGGAAATTGTCTTTTTGAGGTAAAGAACCTTCTCATTTTTGGAAAGTTCCCATTTGATATTGTTCAAGGGTTGCGATTTGCAATCATGACCGTGACAGTGGTCGCTATTGCTTGACTACTTTACCCCACAATACATTGTCGTTGTTGCTTGATTACTACAGACTCATCAAGCCATCTCTGAGAAGACTCCATCCAGCAGAAGAGAAATGGCATCGCCCCAGGTAAGGTTGATTGTGATATGCTGTGATTGTTGATCATGTTGATGAAACAAGTCGCTCATGTCTTGATGTGGTGTGCATTCAACCAACATTACACAGTCCTTGTTGCTTAATTACTACAGACTTATCAAGTTGTCATTGCTTGATTATTACAGACTTATCAAGCCATCTCTGAGAACAATCCATCCAGCAGAAGTGAAATGGCGTTGCTCAACAACGTAAGTTTGATTGTTGGATGCTTCCATTGTGCATCATGTTGATGAAACAAGTCGCTCATGCCTTGATATGGTTTGCATTCAACCAATAATACACTGGCAGCGTCACTTGATTACTACAGACTTATCGGGCCATCTCTGGGGCGAATCCATCAAATAGAAGAGAAATGGCGTCGCTCTAGGTGTGCTTGATTGTTGTATGTTGACGAGGATGGTCACAGTGGTCTCCACAAAATCGGGTTCGTCTTGGGGATCTGGTCTGAACTTGAAGGGGTTGGTTGGATGGGGCAAGGAGATATTCTCACCGTTGGGACCCGTCACATCTTGGTTTGTTAGAAGCTCATATACACAATCCAAGAAGGGGCGGATAAAGAGACTAGTAGGCCAATTGTCAGGGAGCCAGTCAATAATGTGTTCCTTGAAACCATTGGTCTTTTCTACCCCCAAGTGCAGTCAAAACTGAGTAAACAATTCAGACCGAGTGGTCGGGTTGGACAGAAAAAGATTAAGCTCTTTCTTGGTCGCTTTGTGGGCCCATGCTTGAATGTCAGAAACAGAGGAGGCTGACCATCCTTGAGACGAAGGAGGTGAAGGTCAGCTTCCATTTTGGTGCTGATAGATGGTGGCATGAATTTTCGGTTGTACTCTTCTTGTTTCAGTTGGTCCAATAGGTAGTTGGAAGAATCAGGATTGGGGATGTTGTGAAGAGGTGGTTGGGGGGCATGTGGATCATCCACTTCAAAATTAATAGTTGGCAATGTAATATCATTAGGAAGATAGTTAGCCCCATACTGGGATCCTACATCAAGATCCATTACAAAGGGCCCATTCGGATTGTTCCTCGCTTCTGACTCTATGGAAAGTTCTGCCGATTCCTCCTCCTCGTGGTCATCATCATACTCAAAGTTGACAGATTCTCCATTGTCTTCTGTTTGAAAACTAGGATCCAAATTGTCGTTGAGATGGGAGTGGATGTAATTCCTCAGCCCTTCCTGAGATACTTGAGGTGGAAGTTTAGATGGGCATGTCTGGCTGTTGATTTGTTGGTTGCTAAGCTTGCTTTCTGGAGCAGAATAATGGGCAAAAAGAGTCTTTGACACAAACTCCTGAAAATCAGCCAACAGAGTGGCTTCCCGAAGCATTCCAAATGACCCCTTCTTCTTTTCTGTCTTGTTCTTTTCTTCTTCCATGGCAGCAGTGTCTTCTTCTGATCCACTGTCAGGTTCGAAGCCTGGCATAATATCAGTAGGGCTAGTGATATGGCTTACAGAGTCCCCAGCTCGAAGGGGATTGGAATGGTGATTAGCTTGGAACACATCAGAGTCTTTAAAGTCAATCTTGTCAACAGACTAAGCCCTGGCAAAGCAGGGGTCCTTCTTAAAACCTGGTTTTGCGGTTGACCTAAGATGTTGTGAAAGACCTGATGAAGTAAGCTTCCCTTGTTTGTTGCTATATTGCCCCTTGAAGTTTCTTTTACAGCATAGACACCGTAGTGGAACATCTCCGTATTTGGGCCTCTTGCTTTGTGGTTCAGTATGGTGGCTTGCCATGACAAAAAAGTGCCATAAGAAGGAGTGCGGGGAGTGATAAAATGCTGATCAATAGCCTTTTTGTCCATGGATTGTGAAAAAAGGACATCATGTTGGGATGTGCAGGACAACGATGACCTTTTGGAAGAAAAGGACCTGACAACCAATGTCTCATGGTTGTCATAATGACTCTTGTGTGTCATTTGCCCCAAAGGAGTGTCAAAAAAAGGGGGCTCCTTGTGAAAAAAAGGACAAGGGACTTTTGGGAAAGACAAGGCATGCCGCAAAAAGGGCAGACCATGGGGAATTTTGGGCAATTTCTTCCTAAAAAGGTCATACCTACTGTTTCAGATGAAGCATCAGTTTCATGAGTGACGGCATGGAGCATAACCCAAAATTTCTGGCTGTTGCGACGGAACACAGCGCCAGTATGAGCAGCACGTCGGACAAGTTCTTCCTCGATAGAGCGAGTGCCATCATCGGCTTTGAGAAAACCAGGGTCACCGACGAGTGGAAGTGCAGAATTTTCACGGAAAATATAATCAAGGCGAATTCCACAGTAACCATAGGCAGTACGAGCCCAACTTTCAATGTTTTCCATCATGATTCGACCATTGCGATTGTTGAACTTTGGGGGATGTGGAGGAAGTGGGTAGGAGTTCCCTTCCATAAGATCTGGGTTTTCATCATAGAATTGACCAATAAAAAAGGAGATTTGGAACGGTTCCAAGTGCTGGTGTATGGGTTCTTTGAACCAAAATGAGGAACTTCCCATATTTGGAGATGTGATGGATAGTTATTGCTTTGCGAGCGGTGACTCTGATAGTTGCATTTGCATTGTTGGTATCAGGAGCTCTTTGCATGGATTTGATGTCTTCACAAACTTGAGAAGTGGTTCTGTTGGCAAAGGAATCAACAGAGTCAAGGCCTTCAACATCGGTCATGTGTTGCATGAGAACGGGTCAAATAAGGAGATCGACTTCACACCAGTTACAAAATTGAATAACAGCAGCCATTGAGGATGCGATTTTCGTTTTGGCCTTGGAACCATAGCTGCATGTGGAAATTGACCTCCTATATCCAGAAAAGAAAAAGTAGAGGAGTTCTTGTCATTTCCAACAACATTTCCATTATCATTTACAACAGTATTCCCATTATCATGGTTGTCTTTGGTTGGACCAGATGGACTAGTCCCGGGACATGCAATGGGACCAGGAGCCTTAGGACCAGGAGCAGTGAGGGCTTTTGTCTTTACTCTGTTCCTATCTTTTGAAGATCGGAGTGCTTTCTTGACAAAATAAAGGGCTTTAAAGTGGTTGATTTTGTTCTTGTGGCGGGTCGAGGAAGACACAACCCAATTCTTGCTTGTCAAGAAGAAGGGAACCCGGAAGTAGATGTGGCATCCAAACCAATTTTGATTGGTCGCTGCATCATCTAGAGGATGGGATCTGCCCAACTTTCCAATCTTTTTCGAAATAAGCAAGGCTGGCTCCAGATTTGTTGAGATTTGGTTGGAACTTTATTAGTGTTCAATGCTGCGGTATGTATTATCCGGAGGAAACTCGCGATCGTTACACGTGCAACGGAACGAGGCTTTTTCGTCATTTTACAATAGTCTCAACCTCCACAATAACAACCATCTCCATGCTTGATACAAGGGGTAATTTTGCAGAGATGGCTACTCGATTGTTATCGTTAATGTAAGACAAAGCGACACCACGATTACGAGTGGACGAACTGAACGA